CATTGCTATACGAGTTCGACCAGGGTGCTAAGGCGAGAGCACGTTTCCAAGCTATGCAAGCTGGGGACGATCACCCTGGGAACTAGGGCTGAAGGCGATGTCCAGCCCAAGAAACTCGTATGTGTGAAACGAATGGTATTGATTTTGAGAACTGTGAAGTGGTCGTTTCTTAGATCCAGCGAGGATCTCAGAGTACAACCATTGTATGAGTGAGTATCATGACGAAGACTATTCTTAAAGTGGTGAAGAAGTCACGATACAAGAACGAAAAGTGAAAAAAACGATTAGTATTAACGAGTTACTGCCTGAGACTGAGAGGAAGGAGAGTGACTTCGACATCCAGGGTACGTGGAGAACAACAACTGACGAAAGGAGTTCACGCTTGAGACACTGCAGATAAGGGAATCACGTTCCGGGCTCTGCGCTCAGGCATCATAAGAATGGGTGCATGAATGAAGGGACTGTGGCCAAAATGTCATCGTCGCTGTGCGCGGCAGCCCATTGAGTGCGGACAGGATCTTCGGCGTCCAAGTCGTCAAGCTGAGCAGCGTAGTCAGGGACTCCACGGCGAATAAGGGGCAAACGCTCAGGATCCTTGAGGATCCAGTGGCACGCACACACAGGTAGCGTCCACAGACCAGGCTCGTAAAGCAACGTCTTCCGAAATCCAGCGATTGCAAACAACCGCTTAAGTAGAGCCCCGTACTGTACCCGAAGCCGTTTGACATCTCTGCGACGTTCGTCATACAAGTCGCGAGAAGTGTCTGCATCAGCGGCGTCTCGAGCCAAGAAGGAGATGGTTAGCCAGTGGAGGATAGCCTACCAAGTCTTGGCGTTGACACGCATGAAGTCCACGTAATCCTTGATTCCGTCGAGCGTTTCAGAGTTCAAGTCACACACTTCGTGAAAATAGAACACGGTGACGCGATAATGGAACATCACAGACCAGGGCGCTCTGATGAATTCGCCATCTTCATCTCGAGCGGGACGACCGTAGATGGGTTCAGGAACGTAAACCAGAGCTTGGTATGCCTCCAGATCCCAGCGCGCCTTCAGAATGTGGATGTCAGGCTTGTGCGGCTCGAAGTCAGGATACCCCTGAGACTGTCGATAGGAATCGAACTTCACCGGAATCCCGAAAATACGATAGGAGACGTGAGTCTCCCGACATGCAGCCTCCACCATGTCTAGGTGCCTGCCGTGAAGGTCGCCGTAACTCAACTTGGTCAACTTGGACCGAATACGTCGAGGGCCCTCGGATAGAACTTCCACCCTAGCTCGACGAAGGAATGTGGCTAGGGAAAGAACAGGCATCTTGCGCTCGCGTGGAGTGCCGCCTGATTTCGGAACGACTTGAGACTTGGGACTGGTGATGACGCGAGACTTGGGTTTCGCGGATGCACCATAGAGCCACTACTCTTGTCACTCTTGCTTCCGGTCTTAGACTCCCGAGGACTAGCAGAATTCAGACTTGTAGCTGCGGGTTTGGATTCCTTCTCAGCTTCGTCAGATTCTTCACTCGATTCGTCGTCCTTGGCGTAAACGTAAGGTTCCCTAAGCGCTGGTATAAAACCCATCAGGGACAAAACGACACCAGGGAGTCTGATCCAGCTGACCCGCGTGAATCACTTGGGCCAACATACGACAGACAGCCTCCCGAGGCGCAAGGTGGTGAATGCCTTGACTTTCAGAGACCCACTTCATGGCGCGCTTGAAGTCCATCCCGGACAACAAGAGGTGTTGGACATCCTCATGGGCGTCAGTCCAGAGCATCCCAGCTGGGAGAGAGCGATCAGCCTCTGCCAGATTCCGAGCGTCAGGGACGTTCCTAGGCGAGTCCACCAGCATATTTCTGGGCGAATAGCCCCGAGGACGGAGTTGGCCGTCGAGTTGACGCCCCGAGTCCCGAGCCGGACTCAAGGACGGGCGCTTGGACACAGGCGCATCACGCGCTGCAGACACCTTCCGTTTCCGGTTGCCAGTCCGCGACCCAGATGTCGACACCCTCTTGTTACGCGCAAGAGGCGACAGGTCGAGAACACTAGGACGCCTTGAACCTGAGGAACCTGACGATGAGTCACCATTGCCGGCCCGCGGAGAAGGTCTCGCGTACTCAGGGCATTCGCAGCGTGGGTCGTCCAGGGCGACTACGTTGATGTTCGTGAGCCAGCCTTCTGGGATCGGAATGCCCTCAGCGAAGTGATGAAGGAGTGCCGCGAGGTGCATCCAGTTGAACATCACGTTGATCTTCGGCTTGTTCCCCACGAGGAAATTGACGAGGGCGTTCACATCCAAAACGCACTCCTCAGCGCGCCTCTCAGCTGCCTGGTGAGCGGCCTCACTATCTCGAAGCTGGGCTTGGAGCTGAATAACTTTGGTCTGTCAGCTCTTGAATACGTGCCCGGTGGTGGAACTCAGCGTCGCGATGGCCTTGACGCAGGAAACTCTCACTGTCGATGAGATTCTGCTTGAGAGTCCGCACGCGCTGACCCCAGTGTCGACACCTTGCAGTCCACTCACGACGCATGACGTCGAAGTTCTCGTGGACCACCAAGGTCTCAGACGACAGCATGTCGCTATCCTCGGCTGCTGAATCTGCCTGGAGATGTCGAATCTTGGTCAGGAGCCGGCGGATGAAGGACAATGAGTTGATCATCCTCTCCGCCAGGCGATCCAGAGGGAATTGAGCCAACAGTGCAGCCTTCGTCATCATGGTTAATCCTGGTGAACGCTCATCGCACATCACTTGGCGACACCTCTGGGGCACTTGTTGGCACATTCATAGTCGAATTTGGTTGCTGTAACACCAGGGTGGCTCAAGTCTGGACAGGTGGCTGCCAGAGATACATTCTTCAGGGCGCTCTTCTCCCTTCCTGGTCTACCTATCGTCAGGGTATCGGCGGCTCAGACCGAGTGGTTCATTTCATCCTGGATGGTTCTCGATCCTGAATGGCCATTCACCCTGGATGTATATTTATCCTGGGTGGCCATCTATCCTGGACGACGATTTATCCTGGATAACCACTTCCGAGCCTATGGTCCCTTCCTTGAGTACATACCTGCCAGCTCTTCTTTCATCTAGAACTGCCTCTCTCCATGTCTCACGCAGATGTCAGCTCTGAACTCATTCATCTTGACCAATCAGCATATTATTCCACTTCCTCGTCTCTCCATCTCTCAAAATTGTAATCCACATCGCCACAAGTAGACGAAAAAAGATACTACACCGACGACACAAATCTCTGAGCTGATCCCATCGTCCGTCGCGAACAGACGAAGAATCGATATATCCGGCGATGTGTCAGCCAGGCTAGTACAGCTCGCTTAGCAGAAAAGGACACTACTGTATAACTACATATTAAATGGGCGAAGCGTCAAGGATAAGATTAATGAGGAAGAAAAACAAACAAACTCAAAAACTACTGCTGCACTACGTGAACAAACGATAAGCGCACTTGAGAGGAAGTGTCGAGTGGGGGCGTGAACCGGAGTTACAGCAACACTGCATCCGACGTGTCCGGCGCCTTGATCTCCATGGGGTCGAGGCCTATACCAGCAGCCGTGTCGACCAAAACATCGAATGGCACGTGAGCGAGGTCACTGGGTAGAT